AGGACCAACGGGAATTCTCCTTTCTGCAGCGTCATCGGTCTCCAGGCAGAGCCTCCCTGAACTTCAGCCGATAGAAGAGTTCGTTCGGCGCAGAGAGAGAAGCGGAGAAAGTGGGAGGGGATCCTGCCTGGAGGGTGTGGGGCTTCTCTGGATGAATAAACGGGAGGAGCAGCTCGACAGCCAGCGAGGGCTGTGGGGGTCTCCGAGGGTCCTTGGTCGCTTTCACTTTCACTCGCTCACTTACACACACGACTGGAAGGAGCCCGCCCTCACTCAGCCACAACGGGGGTGTTTGAAACCTTTGTGCACTTTCCTTCTCCGGCTGTTAAATTGGATACCTTCACATTTAAAGTGTTCAAAAGAAATAGACCTAAAATGACTTTGATTTTGTCCATTAGGTAGATTTGTCCTTCTAGAAATGGCTGGTTACATATTAATGCCTTTTTTTTTTTTTTACAAGGAAGAAAATCCGCTCAGATCCTCTTACAAATATCTTCGTGGGGAGTGGGGCAGCGTCTCCAGGGATTTCCACTCAGCTGACAGAAAACGAAGCGCGGAGACGGTGGATCAGCCCAGGAGGGAAAATGGGATCGTCCTCCGAGGGGGATCCGAACGGGAAGCGATCAGGAGGGATTTCGTGACCGAAAGCAGCCCCCCACCTGGAATTGGGGTGTGTGGGGGAGGCGCCAACCCTGGAGGCCTTCAGGAAGACGGTTGGGCAGGTCTGTCTGTCTGCCTGTCTGTCTGTGCGGGGCGGCCTCAGTGCCTCTGCCTCGGTCAGTGGGTGAAGAGAACTGTAGGGTCCTCAACTTGCGACCTGGCTGCCCGGTAACAAACCGCCGCCGCCATTCGGGCTCCCGAGACGATAATAGTAGTTTTTTCTTCCCTTCAAGCCGAGTCAGGCGCCGTTTTGCCTGCGGCTGTTACCCGGGAGCCTTTTTCTCCCCTGAAGCGAAGCGGCGCTTCTCCCTGGTCTGACTGAGGGTTTTCCGGGGCTCCCTTCGGACTGGGGGTGTCTGGGCGTGACCCCCCTCCCACAACTTGTCCTAGCTGGCTAGGCCTGCCCCCTCCCCCCCCCCCTTGTCATCCAGCGCAGAAACTCTTCCTACGGCAGAATCGTCACATTAAACCAATCTGTCTGTCTGTCTGTGTGTGTGTGTGTTTGTGTTCTTGGACTTTTTGCATTGGGGGGCGGGGCAGAACGACCTGAAGCACCAATGGGGATTCTCCCTGCTGGAGCGTCATCGGTGTCCGGGCAGAGTCCATTGTGACTTCACCTGAAGGAGGAGGGCGTTCGGGGCAGAGAGAGAAGCGGAGAAAGTGGGAGGTGGGTCCCTTCAGTCCGGGGGGAGGGGTGGGACTGCAGCTCGAGACGGGGACTCACGGCAGGCTCAGAAGGGACTCTCCTTTTGTTTGCTCTCTTTATGATTCTCAACTAGATTTTCCTCTGTATGCATGTGGGAGAGGATGTGGACTAGATGTCCGCTTAGGTTCCCAAACTGTCCCCGGGTGGGTTGGTCCTTCTCTGAAAGGGGCCTCCGGGTTCTTTCTAGCTAAGTCGGGGGAGGGGAAGCGTCCCTGAAACGGGCACTTGGTGGGTGGGTGGAGAAGGGGACTAATCCCCAAAGGGCAGCGGAGGCTACTCCAGGGGGAGGGCTTGGTGGGTCGTGGGATGGGGGGAGCCCCACAGCTGGGAGGCCAAAGAGCTGCGGCTGAAAAGGGCCAAATCCAGGAAAGGCTCTTTCTCCAAGATTCCTCATAGTCTGAGTATCCCAAGGATGGTGTCATATGATGTCATGATGCTCTAGGGTCCCAGCCCCCCCACTTGGCAAGGATCCAGATTGGAGCTCCCCCCCTCCCAAAAAGCTGCCTGGTCTCCACGGCCCTTCCTATGGAGTGGAGCCCATGGCTTTGGAGGGCCATCCTGGCGCCGGTCTCCGAGTGG